AAAAATATGTTTTGGAATCAGCTGCCATGTTAGCTGAGTAACAAATTTTGTTTTCCTTTCTATTTTTGCACTATCTTTCAGAAACACATTTTCCATAAGGGACCTGGATATTTAAATGTTGTGAACTAAATCCATATGGAGTGGAAGGAGAATCGGATATGGGTTGGAGGAAGATCTTCACAGTTAGACTTGTGCCTTTCCTCCCCCAGCATTCCTGCCCCACAGTCCTTCCTTTGTTCCTTAAATCATGCCGGGAGTGGAGCCTGCTAAGTGCTGTGAACCTGATAGATTTGCTGGAAATCTCTGCCTGTGCCTTAGATGATTGACTCAATGTGGAGATTTGCATGTTATGGCTAAAAATTCTTAGGCTTAAAGCTAAGGGTAATTCATTTGTCTCTGGACTTCTGCTTATAGGGACACCAGACAGCCTTAATGCAGAAGATTCTGCAAGAACCTCCCCCATTTTTACCCAAGCCATTAATTTCACTTGAGTAGACTTCAAATTACCAAGAACTGAGAGCTGATGTCTCCTCAGACTTTTTTCCCCACTTATCTGTAGCCGAATTTCTAAGCAGTCTTATTAAATAAAAAACATAGAGCCAAATACAGGGGTAAAAGCCTTAGAGATCAGGGAAATAGTGAGAGCCACCAGCCATAATGCAGCTTCCAAAGAGAGCTACTTCCTGTCTACCCATGCCATTGTTGCCTTGCTGTTCTGCCCTCTCATTGGCTTGTAGCCCAGCTACCTCACTTCCTTGTTACTGCCTGTCTGTACAGACCCCCAGGTCTCTATGGTTGGTACTGGGATAAAAGGCATGTGTCTCCACACTTGGCTCTATTCTCTAGTGTGACCTTCAACACACAGAGACCTTGCATGCCAAGTGTTTGGATTAAGGGCGTGTGCTAACACTGCCTGACTTTTTTTTGTGTGTTAATGGTTTGCTATTTCTTCTGATCTCCAGGCAAACTTTATTTATTAGCATACAAACAAAGTACCACCACATTTCAACACAAATAAAATATCACTGCACTTATCTTTGGAGTACAGGGAATTTTATTTCCCAAGTTTCCTTTCAGCTGGCTTCTATCTAAGTGTGGCCATAAGGAAGCAGTGGTAGAACAGGAGAGGACCAAGGAGGGAAGGAAGGTATTTATCTCTCTTGCTAAATCTTTCTCTTGAAAATTGTTCACTTCAGTAGCCCAGTCTCTTCCCACAGTTTCACCAGGGTTCTAGCTCCTAATTTGTGGCCTTGCCTCCTAGCCTCTGTGAAGCCCTCTCTGTGTGGAATGGCTTCTGTAGTTGCTAATTCTTGATTTGTATGTGGATTCTCAAGACCTTTACTATCTCTGTGACCAATTTTCCATAGAACATGGGAAATTTCATTCATGGGGATTGGTGTGCCCAACAGCCATTTATACTTATTTTCTGCTGTTCCTTTCTTTTGACCACTTTTCTATTGTGTGATTGATTTTTTTCCAATTAATTACAAACTCTATGTGAATATTATTGTGTGACTTTTCCTGGGGACACGTGAACAAACATCTAATCACCCGATATAAAGCACCATTGACAAACCAATGAAGCAATTCCACCTGAGTCTGACTTAGTGAATCAGTGAGTTTTTTGGAGCCATTTGTAGGAACATGAGTGATGCAAGAACAGCTGTGTCACCAGGAAAAAAATCCTACCCCAGTGTGGCTGATGACTCATGAGAGCTAAACTCTCAGAGTTTTTGGCATAGCTTTCAAGTAACTTGACAGCTCAGAGAGTCTGTTTTCTTTATCAGATTTTGAGAGGGCCAGGCAAATATCATGACTGGCTCCTAATAACTCAGTTAAGAATTAGGCCTCAGTCCCTGCTTCTTGAAACTGGACAGTTTCTGAGGAAGCCACAAACAAAGGACAAGCAATCTTTAATGCCCCTGACAGCAGGGACAAGAGAGACAGGACCTACCAAGCCTGGGCCACTGAGCCTACCCCCACACTGAGTGCGTACTAGGCCAGGCAGCCCCTTCAGGTAATAGCTCAAGGTAATAACTAAATAAGAACAGAGCTTGGGACTTGTTCAGGCCTGCCCCCAAATGGAAAAACTGTAGCCTTAACTAACTCCTGAATAGTCCTAGCCAATTAGAACATACTAATATAATCATATTTAACCACTTGCTTAAACCAATCATATCTGAAATGACCTAACTGCCCAAGGAATTCCCCTTGGCTATGCTTAAAAAGAGCCTGCACGCTCCTCTCAAGGTCATCGCTATTTTGCCTTTCTATAGGATGGTCAGCTTCAACATGCTGGTATCTTTCTTGAGATAATAAACATTCTTGATGATTGCATATGTGGATGGTGGTCTCTTGTGGAGTTTCTCCACAACCCTAACAATGTTACTTCTTATATAATCCTATGGAGAGATTTTATGAATTTTGTACGTTCCAGAGATTTCCTGGGCCTTTTAAGTTTTTTATTTCCTATTCTTACAATCACACCCCCCCCCCCACACACCTTTATTTATGAGCCTCTTTTCTCCCATCAATGAAATAATGCTTAAATTCAAAAGAAATGTCTGGGATTGCTTTTCTATTATGTGGCTGACTGTTTTCCAATTAATTTATCATTAAGTACCAATACAGGATATATTAGTCTCTGATCTACAATATGAGTTGAAAATTTTTCCTGATTTTGAATATTGCTTTTGCTTTGCTATAGGTAATTTTGTTGTTATTTTCTTTGGCACAAACCACATTTCTAAAAATTGTTTCAAAGACATGTATTTACCACTACTTTTGATGCTATATTTAGAATGTCTAAATTCGTCATAGTTAAAATTTCTCTGCATATTTTATTTTCGCATTTTTATGGTTTCATTTATTAAAATAAGTAACTGATTCCATAATCTAATGAATAAAAATATATAGACATGACTTTATTTCTCTGACTTTTTTTGCAATTGATTGCTTAATTATACTAATGTAATCTGCTAAATAGGTCACTGTACTTGTTTATTTTTTTGTGGCTATAACAAAATGCCTGAAGCTGAGTAGTTTATAAATGGAACTTTAGTTCACAGTAATTGCAGTTCAAGGGCATGGCACTGACATCTCTTTGGTTCTAATGAGGGCCTGCAGCAGATGGTATCACAGTGGTAGACATATGTGCAGAGAAGATTGCAGGATGATAGACAAAATGAGAAGGATCATGGGTCATGCTGGCTCTTTAATAAGTTATATTTATTCAGCATTTATTAACTGCTCAAGTTAATGGATTGCATGTGATATTTAGATATTTTCACAATTGCCTATGCAAACCTTTGATCATATGCCTTCCTTCCAACCCTCTCTTGCCTCTTTTCCTTTTCTTCAGACCTCTTCTCCATTCCTAGGAACCCATCAGACATTGCAATACCTCTTTGTTTGTTTGTTTTCAAACGTAAGTGAGAATATGTCATACTTGCTTGTATGTTCTGGCTAATTTTGGTTCAGATAATGATCACTGGTTCCACCCATTTTCCTGCAAATGACATTATGTAATTTCACCCTTCTTACATATGACTTTCCATTTGTCTGTTGATGAACATCAAGGCATATTCCATGTCATGATTACATGGATATAGAGTATCTCTATGGTACATTGACTTCTCCTTTAGTTATATACGCAGAAGTGGTACAAATGCATTTTAAGGTGCATTTATTTTCAGTTAAAGTATTTTAAAGAATATTAAAACTTTGTTTCCATGGTGTCTTCTGTAATTTATATCAACATTGTGCAATTTCTCCCCCTACCATATCAATATCGGGTTGATTTGTTCTTAACAAATAACAAGCCACTCTTACGAGTGGTATGAGGGGTCCCTTATAAGACACATTATGCTTTTTTGAGATAGGTCCTCACTATGTAGACCTCACTGGCATGGAATTTGCTGTGTATACCAGGCTGGCATCAAACTCATGGAGATCCACCTGCCTCAGCCTCCTGAGTGCTAGGATTTAAGGTGTGTAGCACCCTCATATTAACTTCTTTTGAGATTAATCTCCCAGTACCTAATTACCTTTCACTAGGCCTCATCTCTCCAAAGTTCTGCTCTTTCTCCAAGAGGTACCCTAAGGAGTGAACTTCTAGAACATGTAATGTAGCATGAGTCCTAATTGGTCTTAATAATAAAAATCCAGAGCCAGATATCAGGATAAATGCTGAAAGATCAGAGAGACAAAGGAGCAAGCCACAGCCACCTCTTACCTCACCAAGTCCTCAACCTGAAAAAAGCCAAGCTCCTGTCTCCACTCTAGCCTTATCACTCCTCTTTCCACTCAGCCATATCACTTCCTGTTTCCTCCTTTCAAAGGCTGGGATTAAAGGTATATGCCACCACTTCTTGTCCTCTAGGGTAAACTAGTGGCTAGCCCTGCCCTCTGATCTCCAGGCAAGCTTCATTTGATAGAGCACAAACAAAATATCACATTTCTCCTTTTTTGTCTAAAATAAAAAGATGGTTATAACTCCTATAAAAAACTATATACAATAAGTACAATAACTATATACAATATATACAGGCAATAATTACATTAACGATATCTAGTCCATAAACATTTGACAAATTCAGAGAAAATACTCCATTATCTATTTTATTTTGGTGAGTCCAAAGGCTGTACCTGATTCACTTTCTATTCTAACTTGTATTACCAAAACTATCTTTTAATGTCTCTCAACCCTATACAAGTTACACCTCTTTAGTGAATTACTTTTCTGAATCTGGTAACAAGGAAAACTATAACTATAAAGTCTTTAATTCATCAGAGACCCAAAAAGGAAATAATATTACCTAAGTAGGTATGAAGTGCAAGTAAGTGACTTCCAAAAATGTGAGAAATGATAGAAACAGCTGGTTGCCTGGACTGTCACTCAAGGTTCCTCTGCAATGTTGGGGCATCTATTGTCAGCCTATAGGCCTAGCATATCTGACAGCATTTTCTATGAAGCAGGATATTCTGAAGGGCTGTCCTACCTTGTCTTGGTAATGTTCAGCAAACATTTTCTTTTGTGTCTTGTTTGTCTAATTTGGACAGCATAATATCAGCAATCAAGGCAAGGGCAGTTTCTTACCCAGTGGCTAACTTTTGCCACAAAGAAAGTAAATTCAATATGGAATTTCTTTAATGCCCATCATCTTCTCTGAAGTAGACTGGTGCTGCCAGTAGCAGGCATATCTCATTGTCATAAAAAAAGAATCTATATTATTATGACATCTCAAATGCCATGTTCTGTAGATCTTTGAAGTGTTTGAAGACCATCTGTCTATGTAAAATATATGTTTGACTTTGAAGACATACCTAACATGACTACAAGTTTAATTGTAGTAGGTGACTAACTACTAACCTGTATGTCTTTATTATCCTACATAGTTTGTAATAATAATTTTAAAGGACTAGCAATTTGCATTACATTGTTAAATGAGATGTATAGGTACAATACCTTGAACAGGATTAGGAATGTATGTGAAATATATTCTAACAAAAATAATCTCAACTTTGTATCAATATATCCATAATATGTAATAAATCCATATCAATGTAAAATAATTTAAACAAGTAGTTGCTTTTTAAAAATCAATTCTGTTATCTATCTCTATGCCCCACTTTTTTCTTTTCAGAGTAGAATAGCAGAAACAAACATTTAGGAAGATTTATGAAATTTTATCCTGTTGGAGATAGGCCAATATACTTTTTTTCTTAAGACTGATTTTTTTGGATGATTTGTCTTTTTTTTTTTCACCCACATGTGTCACTAGAGTTTCAATGTATGTTAACATCAAATGAGTTTAGGTCAGAGCACAGCTGTTTGGTTTTCTTTTTACCCAAGTCTGAAGCCAGAACAACAAACTGAGCATCTAGAACTGCATCTCATGCTTGCCATACTTGGTTAAACAGAATATTGGCCTCTGCAAGGATCTCTGTTAATTTTTCACCAACATTCAGTATGTCTTCACAGTTTTTTTGGATGGAGTTGATGAGAATGTGGTACTGATAGCTGATCAGATGGCACGGGGCCTGATTGTACTTGACCTCCTAGCAGGCAAGAACCATCAGCTCATCCCCAGAATCAGATGGGTTGATGGCCTCCTTCAGGCCAACCAGACCATGAGCAGAGGCAGTACCAGTATGGGTCAGTGGCTGCTGTTCTCACAATTTATTTTTATTTTACATGTATAAATCATTGCCTGCACATATGTGTGTACATTTTGTGCATTCAGTATCTTTAGATATCAGAAAAGGTCATTATATGCCTTAGAATTAGAATTATTGGTGGTTATGAGACACCATGTGGATGCTGTAACTGAACCTAGGTCCTCTGTAAGAAGAGTAATTCTCTTTACCTTAGAGCCAACTTGTTAGCCCTTCACATATAGATTTTTGTATAAACCTAAGTTTTTATTCCTCTTAGATAGACATGTAGGTATAACATTATTCATTAATATATTTATACTCATTAACTGTACATTTCACTTTCTGTGTTTGTTTGTTGAGACTGGAGCTGGCCTTGCACTTTCTTTGCATCAAAGGCTGATCTTAAACATCTTAAACACTTGATCCTCCTGCCTTTACCTCCCAGTGTTAGGATTACAGGCATACATCACCACACCCAGTTGCACATTTCAGTATATATATATATATATATATATATATATATATATATATATATATATATATATATATGCCAAACTATTTCCAAAGAGGCTGCATTCCCACAGCCGTAATGCATAAGTCCATACTAAAAGTACAAGCTCCAAGCAAACAGGATTCTAGCTTCTGTGAATCTCTGCACTGTCAACTGAGATGGGCCTGATTGTCAGGAGAACAACCAGGGATCATCTTTGTAAACTGAGAAAGAACTTGGGCACATTTCAGCACAGAGCTGCTGTCCTTGAACCTTGAGAGAGAATGTTTCTCATTAACATTTGTACCACTGAGGTACAAGGTGAGTGAGGCAGCTCAAAAAGAAGTAATTGGGTCCTTTGGACTTGCCACATCAGCTGTAAGTTTTTGGTCTAGGAGAATGGATGATGGAAATGTTGCTTTCAATACCAGAACAAATTCATCAATCATGTGACTTAAAGATGAAATTTGTGTCATGCAACTTTTTCTTCCTGTTATGATCTGCTCCCTCACACCAGACCTCTCTGAACCTACCTGTATGCCTTGCACTCCTCATCTAGGCACACCTTCCTCGATCTGGAAAAGAGTGACACTAGTCCAGAGAGAACACAGCAGCCATACACTCTCAGGCGAACACTTTATTTATCATTAAATAACTATCTAAAAATGAGCAACGACTATGCTTTGTCAACATTGTTCCCAGATGTTAGTTAAATTAGTTTTGCCATGAATCTTCTAGAAACAATTAAACAATGAGAAAGTGATGATTGCCAGGAAATAGTGGGCAAGCAGCCAAGAGGGCAATGATCAAGAGGAATCATAGTGGGCAGTCAATAGAAAGAAAAGTGACTCTTACATATCAGTCCCAGAGTGAAGACCATGAGACTCTTTCTGCCATTTAGGTCTCTAACTCACTTTGAGGCATATAAAATTTCACACTACATCTCCCCCAAGCAATTAAAGCCAATAGAATTTATCTTTAACATTTAAAAAAGCTACATTTTTCCACACCACAAGAAAAAGCATCTGTTTGATTTATAAGCGTCAGGCTTCATACCCTAAAGATAAGTTGGAGATCTAGAGTGAAAAAAGGAAGCTTGAAGTAATGGAGCATAAACACCATACAGAGAAAAGGTAATCAAATGAAAGCTGTAGCTGGCATAGAAAGTTTCTACCCAGGAAATATGCATTATTTTGGGGTGGAGGAGGGTAGGATGGTTGGGTGCTATACAGACTGTGCACCTTACTGAGAGCTCTGAGTAATAAAAACTAGATGCTGCAGAGCTCAGGATTTCTCTGGATTGTAGACTGTTCTGTAGTCGAAAGTTATTCCTAGATTCAAACTAATGGTTGAGATTATAAACACTCCCCTAGGGCTCCATCTAGTTCACCCTGTGCAAGATTTTATTTTTGGTCTCTGTAACAAAATACTTGAGAAAACAAAAAGCAACTTCAGGAAAGAAAGTTTATTTGGGATTATAATTTCAGTCTATGAGCAGCTAGTCTATGTGAGGCATGTGTTGGAGCTGGTTACTCATCTCATGTAGAAAGATAGAGGGTGACACAGGAAGAGGCCTGAGCAACCAATACTCTTCAAATACGAGTTAGGAACAAAGAATAATCACCATGTCCCACAAAGAAACATATGAATAAAGTGAAAGCAGCATAGTAAGGCAATGGTTGTTACAAAGACCCACACCTGCTGTGCAGTGGTGGCACACACCTTTAATCCCAGCATTTGGAAGGCAGAGCTAGGCAGATCTCTGTGAGTTCAAGGCCAGTCTGGTCTACAGAGCATGATCCAGGCTAGGCACCAACACTACACAGAGAAACTCTGTTTCAAAACAACAACAACAAAAACAACAACAACAACAAAAAAAGAAAAACTCCAAAATAACCAAAAAATACCAAAGACCCACACCTGCTGCATCTTTTCCCCATTGGTTGGGATCCAAGCTCACAGTCCTTCATGATTGGCTAGTTTTAAAAGAATTGGTGCAAAAGGAATGAAAGCAAATAGGAAAGTCACTGCAGTTCTGAGAATGCAGGGGAGCCTTTATGTCAACAAAAGTTTTACTGGATGGTCATAGTAAAACATTTGCATAAAAGATATTCAAGATTGGGAAAATAAAATATTTGCATAAGAGTCTTATAGGTGCTGGGGTTAGAAAGATTTGAATTTGTCATAAACAAAAATTTTACAGTATTTGACAGAAAGACTAATATTTAATGTGTCTTAAAAACACATCAGGTGACTGGCTTTCTCTAATCAGCTCCGACCTTTTAATATCCCCTTCTGTATGACTCATCTATGAACTTGCCTGTTGATGAAGTTAATGCCCTCAAGAGTCATTCACTTCCTATTGATCAGTTAGAGAACAAGCTGTTAACACATGTACCTTTAACAAAGACATTTCATAATCAAACCATAATGCTCTTTGCTAGATAGAAGCAGAAATGGATACAAGAGTCTCTGCTAGCATAAACAGGTGAGGGAACAGGAGAGAGGAAGAAAGCTCCAACAAACCAAATTCAAGGCAAAGCAAGATGCTATTCAGTCCCTTCACTCCTGTACACGGGCTCTCATTTCAGCATCTTTTCTTGTCTGGGATCCCAGACTATGAGGAAAGATGGAGATAACAGAAACATCACACCCTCTAGTCTAATCCAACAATCATCACTGGATTTGAATTAAAGTAAATTTGTGGCTCATACCTTTAAAATCAATAAACTCTATTTTTAAGAGCAGTTTTAGATTCACAGTAAAATTGCAAAGAAAGTATAGCCTTAACCACATACAACCTCCATTATTCTCATCCCACACCTGGTGATTTATTTGTTGTAGTTGATAAACCAACACTGACACATCATTATCACCAGAAGTTCACAGTTTGCATTAGGATCCACATGGGGATTGTGTTTTCTATGGGTTTTGACAAATGTATGGTGACATATAACCTCTATTATAGCATCATTCAGAAAAATTTCACTATTCTTAAAACATCTCTATGTTCCACCAGTTTCTCCACCTTAAACCTCACACCCTGACATTCACTAATCTTTTTATTGTGTCCATGGTCTTGCCTTTCTAAGATACCACACAGTAGGGATCATAATGTATTGAAGTATTTGCAGATTGGAATTTTTTACTTTGTAATTTTCACCATATATTATTTCCTTTCAAGATGTCCTCTTCATTGAAAGTTTTACTTACTTTTATTTTATGTGCAAGGTGTTTGGGCTCCATGTGTGTAGATGCACCATGTAGGTGACTTAAGCTCTTGGAGGCCAGAAGAAGGTATTGGGTACTCTGGATCTGGAGTTGCATGCAGTTGTGTACTGCTATGTGGGTGCTGGGAACTAAACCAAGGTCCTCTGCAAACGCACCTAGTACTCCATCCAGCCATCTTTCCAGTCCTCTTTTCAAAGTACCAACATACCCATGTGGCAAACAGTGAGTCTCACCCAAGAGGCTTTTTTAGAAAACAGTCCCAGTTCTTGAATGGATTTCTCTGGGAAGGG